CTTTCTCTTCAGGACGAATGTACAAATCCCTTGAGACATACGGCCAGGATCAACACGATTACGGACAAATGTTCTCCTGGTTTAGTATATTTTTGCTCTTTTTCGTGGAGTTTGGAATCTTGCTCTGATGATGACTGTCACGGTGGTACAGACGAAAGTTTAGCACAGTTTCATCAGGGTCACAGGACGGTGAGCCGAGGACTTCTTTGCACAATTCGACAAACAGTCTTCCTTACGCGACATTCCTCCTTCGGTTTTCGGTTTCCGATGGGAACACATCACCAATTCCTTCCAACCAACTTTTCCTACGAAATGCAGAGTCATGCCACAATGTTGCACATGGTCTGATGTCGCTTCGACCGAGTGGCGGAAGCCAGTTGAGGCCAACACAGACGACAGAGTTGAAAGCAGCAAAAGAGATGATTGCATTTTCAAGCGACGTTCAGCACAAAACCTCGAATCCAATCATTTGACGAAGCGGACTTGTCGACGAAACGGGTTGTGGCGATGTGGTCAAACGAATGACGTCCGCACCAAATCAAACTTATATGAAAGACCGTGTGAAATATTGCTTTTTGGTTGTGCTGATTGTGACGATTGGGTGAAATGGTGCAGCATCGCTTTTGCTCGAGCTTCCGCAGTAAGCTTGAGCTGCAAACGCCAAAACTATCAGCAAAACCGACCAGGTCAACTCGACTTTTGACCAACTTCATAATGCATCACGAAATAATGAAAACTGTGGAGCATGTAGAGGCGTATGTGGGCATAGTGCCAGAGATGATCTTGTGCTTTTCTACCTGCTGCTGTGTGTGCATGTGTGTGATTGTGTTTGTTTGTGTGTGTGCGTCCGCTTGCCGGAAGTCCAGCAGCCTCGTGTGGCGGGGCGTCAGTTTGACATGTGCCCTGCCAGACCTGACAACTGCATACCGGTTCCACTTTTTGCAGACTCACAGCATCGCGGGCCTACCGACTTCAGCCACCGCTGCTTCTGCTCCCCTTGCGCCTCCCCTGCTGCTTCAACTGTCCACGTCTGGCACACGTCGCCGTGGAAGTTGTCAGGCCAAAGAGCGTGTGGTGCTGGCGTGGGCGAAGCTGTTTGTTGCACTTCACGGACGAGGCCCACTCTGTTTGGCCCACAGGAAGTTGGCCATCAAATAAATCAAGTTGGACTGTTGCCTGACTGAAAGGAAGTGACCGGAGCAAGGGCATATTATTCCGTACCAAAGTTATCCAGTTGACGATAGCGCGATTTTTCTGCACACTTTTGTCCACCGTAAATGCGGACATGTTGTCATGCTGTGGAGAGGTCGATTGCGTAAACTGGCTTCTCTTGTTGTCGTTATGCGGTTGCCGCGCAATCCCACCCCAGGAACAGAGAACGAAGAAACTGAGAATCAACATGTTCTCTTGCGCGGCCTGCCTTGCATGGACTAGTTCAATGAACAGTTTTGTGGGAAGATGGCGATTTCGGTAATTGGATTGGTCGCGAAAAGATACGTGGTTGTCATAGCAAATGGAAATGTTCTAAACGGCTGCTTTGTGGTGTCGGGATGTTGCCATAATCATAGTTGCCCAATCTACTGGAAACTAGGCAACCGCGATAGTCTATCTTGATCGGTGTCATCCAAAAAGATCACAAAAAGTCCACGAAGCCTTCCTATTTTTGGTTCGTTTGACTTTTATGAGACTTTCTTGCTCTCGCAGTCCTAGAGACAATAGTTTTCGTGTTTTGACGAAAACTGGATGGCCATTAGTGCCTTCAATGTCCTACGAAAACCAGTATCAGATTTGCATCTCACAACTATGAAGAATCTAAGCAATAACTATACATATTTATTTATATGGTTACAATCAGATGTGCATGCTCGCATGTTTATCCTTGTTGGCCTGTGTATCTGCGCTTTGGTGTATAGGTATATGAACCAAAGCAACCATTTCTATAAAATGAATAGTCTGTTCGTCTCTGAAAGAGCTTATTCTTGATCTGAATATTGTTTTTTGTGCTGATGGGAGTTCTTTAGGTCG